AAAAAAATTGAATCATGAGGAAGTCTGGAACAAATTCAGGCTTCGAAGAAGTGTGAATCTTCAATACAATACACTACAATACAATGTTCTTTATTTCATGAGGGTAAATAAATGATTAAACCCAGTAAAGAGTTTTCTAACACATGGCCCTCTGTAAACCCACCCATCCCACCCAGGGGAGGACATCCACCACACAGTAATCTCGTGTGTGGGAAATTAACGTTTCCTACCCCAACCCTGCAGGAGACGGGACCTCCATTTATTCGTCCCTATCCGAGAAGACTTGAATAACTAACCATTTCTTGATGTTGTAGAAAGGCAGCAAATTCTTCTCAACTATTTTAAGACCCTGAGTGTTGGTCCGGCCGGGGCTCGAACCCTCGACCTCCCGCACAACAGCCCAGATACTAATTGGGCGCTATATCAACTGAGCAATTAGGCTATAATAATGTAAAAAGTATATCTTACAAACCTTTTCTCCAAAACGGCATGAAGTTGTTTCATTTTGTAGCAAATAATGCACAAAGTTACTGCGACCACAGCTGCGACACTCCCGCTGATTACAAGAGCTTTTAATCTGTTCTTGGTTTTGTTACCGGTGCCTTTATCTTTAACTGGAATGGTGTGGTTAACAGAAAGACATAATCAGTTAAAAAAGTGTTACAGCATTACACTGCACCGGCCAAAAGCAAGTTTTTACTGTGTTTCACTTGTTATAGTAGTAACCATCCTCGGAGACCCAGGGGCTGTGAGTCGATTTCAAGTTAGGGCAGAAGAGCCCCTTGGGACATTGTCTTACAAGACAAGTTCTAAACGGTCGCAGTCGTTCTAGCATTTAATTGGTGCCAGAAAATCTTTGTGTTTTTCTGCCCAATCAGAGTGAAGTGTGCTTTAGAGTCCTTTCGTGTGTTTAAGACGGACATATACAAGAAGCTTGGTTGCTCGCCACGTTTGTTTAGGCCGTACGACGGAGATTTGCTCGATGTGAAAAGTACCAGTCTCAGCACACACTGTAAGAGAAATCGATCAAATTGTCCACAAAAATATCACCGGAAATTATACTGAATACTTTCGCAGGTATCACAAGAGAACGTGTTGAAAAGTTTGCGAGGTTCGTATAAAACACGATGGTTGCAGGCGTTGATATGTCGCTTTAAACGTTAAACGAGATGTAAGCTTAAATCTCTCTAGATTTTTTGTGCAATTTGTTGTGACTGAAACTTTGCCGATCTCGTGAAGTTATTTCGTCGCATGGGCCACGCAGGTATGTCGAGCAACTGGCGCTTGTCCTTACGTAGCTTTCTGTGCGCGCCAAAATCTAATCTTTGCTTTGTAGTAGTCTCTCACCATATGGCCAAGGATGCAGAGAACGTTAAGTTCGTGGACGACCTCCAGCAAGCGCTTACAAAAAGCTTAGCTGTGTTTCCGGTTAGCTCATTGAAATCTGAACAAAAACTAATTATCGAGAACATCGTGGGAAGGAGAGATGTTTTCGAACAGTTACCGAAGGGGTTTGGAAAGAGTTTAATTTTTCAACTGCTGCCTAGAGTGTTCAAATTCTTGAGCTCCAAAGGCCACGGATTCTCTTCTAGTTCCTTAGTCATTTCACCTCTTTTGTTGATTGTTGAAGACCAAATTAAATATCTTTGATCATTGGGAAACGATGCTGCTTTCATTGGGAAAAAAAACCGGTGAAGACAAAGAAATATTCGATGGAAAGGGCGAGTTTGCTTAATTTAAATGTCAGCTTAGTACAGGGTCATCTACCCACATCTAATAAACAAAAGTTTTCACGCTTAGCTTTTCTTTTTTTTTCGGGCGAAGATTGACTTTGGCTCGCGCAGAAAGCTGCGTAAGCACCAGTTGCTCGACATACCTGCGTGGCTCGTGCGACGAAATAGCTTCACGGGATTGGAAAAGTTTCAGTTACAGCAAATTATACAAAAAATCTAGAAAGATTTAAGCTGACATCTCGTTCGTTTAAGGCGACATATCTATGCCTGCAACCATCGTGTTTTATACGAACCTCGCAAACTTTTAAACACGTTCTCTTGTGATACCTGCGAAAGTATTCAGTATAATTTCCGGTGAGATTTTTTCGGACAATCTGAGCGATTTCTCTTACATTGTGTGCTGAGACTGAAACTTTTCACATCGAGCAAATCTCCGTCACACGGCCCAAAACAAACAAACATGGTGAGCAACTGAGCTTCTTGTATATGTCCGTGTTAAAACACACGAAAGGACTCTAAAGCACACTTCACTCTGATTGGGCAGAAAAACACAAAGATTTTCTGGCACTAATCAGATGCCAGAACGACTGCGACCGTTTGGAACTAGTCTTGAAAGACAATGTCCCCAGGGGCTCTTCTGCCCAAACTTGAGATCGACTCACAGCCCCTGCGTCTCCGAGGATGAGGAGTAACACGTGGACAATCAATTTATAGTCAATTAACAATCTACAAAAGATAAAAACGGAAAGACGCCCGTTGAACGTGTATAATTTCTGCTTGCGAACATCATAAGACAGGCATGTGATTTAATATCTAGCGACGTTAATTCATTGTTCTATTCATTTCATCAATTATTCAGTTATATTATACTAATGCGCAAGTAAATAAAAAATTGATAGATAAATCAACAAGATGTGAGCTTGACATAAATCGACGCTCTGGCGCAAGTTTCTGTTGTGAAGCAAGTTTTCACGGATTATGACTACACGGTACATCAAAACAAGTGGGACTAATCTCATTTTTATAGTGCTTCAAAAAACAATCTATTTATCTAGACTGCTATCAAGTCTCTCACGATGACTTGTAGCCATCCTTCGAACACATTTCTTCCCAGTCCTTTACCGCCTTTTAACAACCACGTTGTAGGGCCTGGGAACGGGTTTATGATCTCAAGTGGACCTACCTCCCAGAGTTCTGACTCTCCATAGGTTACGAGGGAGATCTTTATTGATTTCTCTCGTGGTAACAGCAATTTCATATTCCCTGGAGGATTCTAACTGAAGATGATAAGAAGTTACATTTGAAGAAATACCAATTGTTGTCCAGTCTCTGCTATAGATTTCTCTGTAACAGACAAAGTACATCTTGATGTCTGCTGGACATGATGGCGGCTCCCATTCGACGTTGACAGTGTTTCTCTTTGCATCAGTTAATGTGACGTTTATGATTAGCGGGTAATCTGTGGGATGATAACAAATTGTCATTGAAGCGTGGCACTTACCACTGTGGTTACTTTCTTTTGTTAATCAAAACTATTGAGGAAAAATTGTCGAACTTAATTGGTTATCACCAGCCCGATTTGAGCTCTTGAAGCCCCGGGTACGTTTCATTCTTGGCACTGGACAGAGTAGTTGGACAGTTCGCGTCACGTTCTCAACCTGATGTCGTGCTTTTGGCCGAGTTATCTGTTGTTGTCGTTGTTGTTTATTTCAGGAAAAGGTATAACCAGTGGTTAGTTTGTTGCTTGAATTTTTTCATAGCTTTTATAAATTGGTAACAGTACCACGCGTCGTCCAATTCTCTGTATGGGCATAGTCGTGATCTGTCGTGATTAATTAACAATTGGGCTCCCGCGGTCGTCCGATATCGTTAATGACTCGCATAGATACAGAACGAATTGAACTTCACACAGACCTACTACGATTATAATTAAGGAGATAAAGTGATAGATAGATACATGTATGTACATGTATGTAGTGAAAGTGATAGATATCATTCGATATCTATAATTATAGTTAATAGAAAAAAAAGTGATAAAAGTAGACATTAAAACATCAAATTATCCGAACAAAAGATCATTCGAACACAGCCGAGCTACATTGAGTACGAGCAAGTTGCAAATGATTTGAGTTCTACCATCTAACTGGCTGAAAAAATGTTGAGGTCTTTGTAGCGGCCGACACAAGCGAAGCAAATTTTCAACGACAACTATGAGTTTCGCAAATGAAGACACACTATGAAGCGAGGATATATTTTACGGACAAGCCTTGAATCGTTTTATTTAACGTAGTCGAGGTATCCAAGTTCTTATCCTAAACTGAAATGTGAAATTATATGGAAGAAGCTAATATAAGCTAAATTCTAATGTACGAACCAACATTCCAATCATTCCGATATAAAGGCAAGACGCAGAGCTAGCTAAAACTCAAAAACAAACTCACAAAAGGACAATTAATGTATTTAGACAAGCACAAGGAAAGGAAAATAGGGACTTTCATAGCAGTCCCGCTTGTAAGAGTGTAACCAAAATGAACTTCAAGATAAGGAGGGCAAAAGGCGCTCTTCCGATAAACACGTCTTATCGTTAGCCCAAAGCAAGAAAACTAACTAAAATGCGGTTCTGGGTGGAACTTAAAGATCACGTCCCTAATGGACGAACAGGAACATCATTATTGCGGTTTAACACGTTTAACACGAAACAAGTTCATAGCGAATCAGTGTCTGATGGCAAAGGCGTGGCAGCCGTTAGTCTTTGAATCAATCATTGTGAGTAGTGAAATTTAATCTCACCCTTGTATAAGTCGTAAATCTCATCCGGGGTAAGTGCTACTCCAATAACATGAAGATTCATTAACGATCCAAAGAACTCTACACTTCTGATGCTAAATCTATCTTTGAATGGCCAACCTCCAATGTAATAATACGAATTGGAGAAGTTACTGGGTTCTGCCATATCTGAATGATAGTTGAATATTTGGTGAGAAGTGTTTCTTTTGACTGAGGCTGTCTGGTGCACTCCGTCAACGTACAGCCTAATAACTTTTGTCTCTTGGCAAGTTGCAGCCAGATGAGTCCATTGGTCAAAGCGTATCTGTCCTATCGAAACGACTAGCTTGGTTAAGAGGCCAAACATTCGTCCCCATAAAAAATGTATTCCTTCCCCTTTCTGTTTTGATAATGATAGGAAAAGTGGATGACCGTCAGTGCTGATGGCTGTAAATACTACTGTGTTACGGAAGGTGTTGAAATGGTGGCTGGGAATTTTCATCCAGAACGCAATTGTGAAATCGCAGGGAGTAATATGTGTAGTGGGCACTGTCGCGTAGGATGTTTTTGCGAAGAAGTCTGCCGCCTTGATATGTGGACAACGTCCTTTTGTAAAGCTCACCGAACTGGAAAAACTGTAAGTATAAATCGTAAACGAAGAGAAACAAGATAATAAAACAGCATTAATGCTTTCCTGTGTTGCGTTGCTCGAGCCAACTTACTTCTCTCTCCTGCCATTGAACAAAAGGAAGTGAATGAATTCCATGTTTGAATTTTCACTCTGTTTAGAGATTTGGAGACCTTTCAAATCACTAGCTAAATGAGGTACATGGCCATATGATAGTGAACTGGAAAAATCTGAGGATTAAAATTCCTTCTCCCCCCCTTACCTAATTTATGCACTAGTTTCTCACCTTGTGAGACTGAGCTTTGAAAAAACAGTTATTTCAAAGAACAATGACAAAAACAAACAACATGTGGCATAACGCAAATAAATGATTGAGTGAATAGATAAAGAAATGATAAAAAAAAACTGACGGTGAAAATGACGGTGGCATCTTTACTGACCTCACATCTGGATCTGAACCATCTAACAACCAATGCCCGTGAACATTTCGCCCTATGGGAGCCACAAACCACAATTGTTGTCAAAAAGGTGAGAATTCACATGTTTTATTCTCTCTCTCTCTCACTCTTCTCACACTTTTTTTGCAAAACAACTCTAGAAAACAAATTCTGCAAGCTACAAAACATTGTTATCTTGTCCTTCTTACGACTTATACAGAATCCGTGTGAGATCAAAAGCTGAAGTCGATCCTTGGGGCATACCTTGTAGGAAGTGGGCAGATACATGCGATCGTTTATGTTGAAGCTGTGTGGAAAACAAGATGACAATACATTGAAAATACATTGTGAACAGACGTGCCTGGAAGGTTCTAAAAGGAACTTGAGCTTCTTTGTCATAGGCGTTGAGTAAAAACCAGAGGAGCTTGTTGTAGGCATCAAGTTTTAAGCCTGATTCGGCATTCTTTGATTATTGAGAAACGACATTGTTAAATGCAAAATAAATCATATTCGGTTCAATTTGGTAAAGGTAACAAGTGTTAAACTGATCGAAGATGTAGAATTACTGCAATTAAAGCATTTGCAGAATCTATTTGCCCATTTGCTTTCATTGAAGTCAGCTTCTGAAGATTGATCCCTCATTAAAGATATAGCAATTAATATTTTTTTATTAAGGTTCTAAAAGGAACTTGAGCTTCTTTGTCATAGGCGTTGAGTAAAAACCAGAGGAGCTTGTTGTAGGCATCAAGTTTTAAGCCTGATTCGGCATTCTTTGATTATTGAGAAACGACATTGTTAAATGCAAAATAAATCATATTCGGTTCAATTTGGTAAAGGTAACAAGTGTTAAACTGATCGAAGATGTAGAATTACTGCAATTAAAGCATTTGCAGAATCTATTTGCCCATTTGCTTTCACTGAAGTCAGCTTCTGAAGATTGATCCCTCATTAAAGATAGAGCAATTAATATTTTGTTATTGTTCGTCATCCAACAACACACACTTACATTAGGTCTGTCATTTTCTCAGATCATTTGTTGTTGAAGTTCCGCTCTAACCCTAAATGAACTGTCTGCTATTGAGACTATCGTAAGCTTTATACCAATCAGAGCATTTCATATAACACGCCGCACACACAAAAAAAACAGTTCCCTTGCCATTTCCTGTTGTGTTGTTTCGTGCAATAAAGATCAAAGCCAGCTTACCGAAAGTATTATCAGCGCCATGATGCTGAGAAGTGTCTCCATTATTGAAACCTTATAAGATAAAATACCATTTAACAATTACTTGGGAACTTTTCTATTCAAATGTAAACGATAGAAAGAGCTAAAAAACGCTAGAAATACATAGTCTTGACTTCAAGATGGCTTCATATGATGATGCATACACATATTAATCATATTCTTGTCGTTTACTGACCTTACTGGGAAACTTTTAGGAAGCTAAAACGTTCACTGTTATTCATTAAAAAACGACAGGATTTACTCTTACTCGACTTTGCTAGTGTAAGAATTTAGAATTTAAGGAGGATACTGAAAGGATCTGAAATCATTATCATTCTAATTATGATTTACAGCGTGATTACGTTGCCGCTTATCCTCTAATCTTAAAATTCAACGTCTGTGATTACTGTACGTTATAGATGTATTTATTATTTCGCTCACAAAAGTGTTTATCATAACCTCCCTTTGATCTCGTCCGGCTTTTGTTTTAACGCTTGTTCTAGATATCATTTGCTCAGCTTACTGCACTTGCTGTGCTTTCTCGTGTATTGCATAGTTAATTGTACTTTGAACTTGTAACTGTGTCGTTTGTATCGTTTGGCTTAATTTAATTCAGTGCAATCGAACTTGTACTAAGCGGCGCCGTATTAAACGGTCAGCCTTCCAGGGTGATTCAAATGATTAAGTGGTCGCTTTTCAAAGTCCCGAAATTTTTAATCCCTAGTTACTGTAGTTTTCAAATCTATCAAGCAGTCGCGGTCACCCTTTTCTGAGTCCTAAAGGCCTGTTTGGATCGTCCACCTGTACTGAACAGTCATTTGAAGCGGAACTGACTCAAATTAAACTAAGAATAATCTTTCAAGCAAAATTTAAACCATGTTTATCTCCCGAAATAAATTGTTATTAGTATTTTTGAGCGAGGTTTGTACACAAGGTGGTGAGTTAAGGCAATTTTTATCTTTTCTTTTACAATACCTCTGTTCTGTAAAACCTGTATATAGCGTTCAAACTGAGCACGAGTCACTCCGCCATTTGTCGTGGGTGACCGCCTGTGACAGGTAAAACTGTTTGTATTTATGGCAGATACCCACCAAAACTAGTTCATGTTATACGGGGGCTGCGTAAATTGTAATATTAGAATCTGTGTCGCAATAATGCAGTAGCAGTGCTAGTAATAGCTAGCTATTTGTGCCATGTTCTTTCCAAACTCCTGCTTGGGATAATACTAAACGGTTTTAGAGAGACCGTTATATTAGTAAGGTCTGCTTTTTCATTTTTGTTTTTGATGTTTATACGCGAGGAGACACGTACAAGCTTACTGGACGTGTATGTCGTTTGTATTTGTTTACATATACAAGCACGAGAACACACGCGTGCATTTACCTCTTTTCTGATGGTGCACGTTCGCATTGCTCCGAAGCCTCTCTTATTTGGTGTCAGTGGCAAAATAACTTATGCACCTCAATTTTTGTCCAATTCCAACCCAGGTTCTCTACTGACAGTTTTCAAGCGATTTCCTCGATCTTAATGTCTTTGTCGATAATTGCTCGAAGTTTATTTTCCTGGAAGAAGACGTTTATCATGAGTAATTGAGTCTGCTAATCTAATTTTGGGTTTGTCACCTTATTAGGCAAATATTCTTTCTCTCGTTAGTGGGAGGAATTTCGGAAACTTCTAAAAAATATTTATCATAAACCCTAACTACCTACCTCTAAACCTGTGAAGTGATACAGGCTATTATATTACTAAGTGGATCCGTAAAAGCCGAAGCTGCCTTGGAAAAACCAAGAGTGCATCTCCTAATTACGTTCACAGCAAAGTTAGACACTGCTTGAAAAAAAATATGTGTACACTCATCCACAATGTAAACTGAGGATAGGGTTTATTTTATCAAATATCTTTTATCTTAGACGCGTCCACCTTGAAAACCATCTATTCGAGACATTTCAGCCAGCCATCTGTTTGCTTTACTTAAACTGAATTGTTGAAAGCGTGCACACATTTTAAAGTAACATTGGCGTCGTTTAGTTACCATTGTCCATATATCTTATCGCATAATCGTGAAGTCGGAGACATTGAGTCGTAAATTACTAGTCTTCATTCGCAAAAAAAAGTCGTGGACATTTCCGGACTCAGCTAGGTTTTCATTCACAAGTGAGCGAAAAGTTCATAATGTCTGGTTTTTTACCTCCTTTTTTTCCATTTCTCTATTTTAGAGATCCCTCGTGCACGACGTCATTCGCCAGCTGTTCAAATTAGCTGAGACATATTCTTGGAGGTTCTGGAAAGGGGCAAACCCATAAAGCACCCAATACAGATATTTTTTTTCCGTTTTTAGTTTTAATACTGGAGAAAAATTAATTGGTTTGCCTGTGAAAGGAGAAAGAAAAAAGAAAAAAAGAAACTAGTAAATTTGGCTGAAAAAAAAATTAACACTTAATAACTCTACTCTCAGACAAATAAACGTTAAGAAAATGGCATTATTTGTTTTATGTGAAAGTTATGTGAAGCAAATAATTAATGAGAAACTTTTCAGTCAACAGTGAGACAAACTTGGGCCATATATTTGGCATCGGAGTTACCCGATAAAGACAATGGGGCCTTGAGCAGATGCGCCGAAACCATCAATGTCAACCCATAGCTTAGTGTCAACCAATAACTCAGTAAAGCCTTCAGAATTACTCATTCCTAGCAACCTTTAGGTTACCACTGTTACTTCTTACCTTGGAGTTCATGCTTTGGTAGGATTCCGTAAACTGCACGTAATTACCAGTCAGTCATTGTATCGTAAATTTCCTTTTAGGTCGGTCCCAAGTTACCTCTTAAGCTTTCTGTCCTTCTTTGCAAAGTTTGCAAAGCCTGGCGTGTGAGAGAACGAGGTTCTCGGCATCGATTCAAGGCTATCGTCTCTTGGTGAAATGACGGTTCATAAGTGAGTCTCGAGTTTTTTCTCCTCTCGCCCATGGATGAACCGTTAGAAAATATTTAGGGGGGAGGGGTGGGGGAAATAAGGGACATCAAGCTTCTTTTTCATGAGTGAAAAGCTGGAAGGGTCTCTCTTAAAATTTGTTTAACTTTTTCTGCATTCAGACAAGGGGCTCAAGCAGATATGTAGATAAGTGAAAACAAACGATGAGTCAGAAGGAAAATGAGAAATTGAGGAGAGCAAGATCTTAGCAAGGTACCTGTCAATTTCTTTTAACCCAGAGTTTGGCAAAGGCTTTAAATTTTTTATCAGCGTAGAGATCAAGTATTTTTTTTTGTGCTCAAATTTTACATTTGTATTTTCACTGCACTCTTAATCACTTGGTTTTACCTTACTTGTCATCATGTGATTTAACATGGCAAAATTTAATTCTTAATTATAAATTACATTTTGCACAAAAAGGTATGAAACCTCACTAACAGCAACTCAGCTCTGTGAAACTCCCAAAAGTAAACTTCATAACAAGGAACTATAGCTACGTGGGGCTGCTATTAGGATCTATGTAAGATGTATGATCTTATGTAATGAGGGTGGCATGTTTAGAGCAACATGCCCTTCAAAGGAGTTCTGGGGGCACACTAGGGAAGTTCAAGATTTGAAACTCTCTGAGATGTGAATTCCTACATTCTGGAACATATCTGAGTAAGGTTTTTTAGCCAAACATTGATATTGGAACTGGTTCAAAAATATTCATTTTTAGTATTTTATCACAATTCACAAAGTAGCCAGTGCAAAATGGTCCGAACCTGAAGAGGTTTCTGCCGCCTACCAGCTTCTAATGACAATCCTGCCTGCATTCAATACTACAAAACTTACTCTTACTACAACTGGCAGCATTCTGATTGGCCAATTTGCTGTGTCAATAAAAGTACAAACAATGCTACTTGCATCAACATGCCACGCAATGCCTTTATCAGTTCTCAGATATGGTTGACTAGCACTAAAAAAATCATTTCATATGATGTCCACATTGTGGTAAAAAACAATTTAACAGTGGTTTAGCATGCTCTGTACTCTTTTCAACAACTACATTCATCATTACAGTGGTCAAAATTTGTTGTGGACTAATTCAGCTGTGCCCCGTTAGTCCACAACATTTCGACCACTGTGGTGATGTCATTGTCGATAAGAGTACAGACCTATTGATTGGGTAAATAGAAAATACTCAAACCTGGTGTCATTCAAAGTTATCTCTACTTTACTGATAACAATAACAGGCCATCTCTGGTACTGAAGTTGTCACTTTCTTTTCACACTGCTGTGATTGTGAGGTGTCATTAAAAAAGCAAGCATGCAGAGAATGGTACTTCATGTATTTTGCCATCCAATCTTGTTAATTCTTTCTTAGTACTAATTCCTTAAAAATGTTTCAGAAATTAAGCATTATAAACGGTGAAAAAAATTTGCTCTAAGCTGTTTCTTTTGCCTGTGATTTGACAGGAACAGTGCACCTATTGCGCTTAAAGTAGGAGTAAAATGAAGACCTCTCAAAAAAACCAGAATAATTATTGGAGAGAAGTGCTTCACAAAATATATAGTGGCTCGTGTTTCATGCAAGTAGATGTCAGTAACTGTGGCAATTCATTGGCCCCTTGTCTGGGTAAGGTTTACTGTCATTCCTACATTATGCTAAAGACATTTCATCTTTAGAAATGTAAATTGTTGAGCATTACTTGATACAAGTCTCTGCACCCAGTAGTAGTGCAGGTAACCCGCAACTTAAGAGTAAATTTCTAGAGTTGATGTGATAGTGCGACGGCACAATGGACAAGTCTGTCTGCCAAATCTCTGATGATGGAATAGCCGTGTGCAGCAACTCTTGCACATACACATGTGTCGGCATGGCATGACAACAATATTCTTACTCTCTGTTTGGCACACAACACAAAGGTTCTTGTCACGTTCTCTTTCAAGTTCTTCTCTAAGTCCACTGTCTTTTTCTTCCACAGAAAAGTGGTGTGACTGCGCCTGAGTTGTGAAAATCTGTTTTAATCTTGAAATGTCTGGACCTTGTAAGGTTGAAAGAAAGGCTAAAAAGGCTTGAGTGTAGTTTTCCAAAAGTCTAAATGCCACAGCAAACACATTTATTTTCAAGACCGACCATGAATAAGCACATAAAAATGTGGTTGAAACAAGACTCAGGAGAGTCCACCTGCCACCTGGAATGCAGTGGGCTGTCACAGTCCCGAGATTGCAAAGCTTTCTGATGCAAAGGAGAAAGCAATTACTTATGGCATCAAAGACAGTACATATGCCCGATAAAACTTGAGTAATTGCCCATGCGATGGTTATACATATGGTATAAAATCCTTGCACAAAGAACTGGAAGATAAAAGTTATCAACCACACAAATGCCCCACTTATCCAAAGAAAAGACTGTCCTATCGCCAGCAACAGACACTGTAGTCCATCAATAATCAATTTCGAAAGGTTTATCAAGTGTTGCCAGCCAGAAAGTGAACAAGTATGTACAGCTTTCCCCACGAATTCGATTCCATGGAAAACTGATCTTGTAATTGCCCATAGCAAATCAACTAATAGCACACCTGTGTTCCAGATTGACATTAATGCACACTCAAGCACAGCTCTTACGCTTGTAACAATAGTTGTTAGGGCTGTGCTAGGAGTTCCTAAAATGTACTTCCATCCGAGGTAAGACTTGTGAAGAAGCACTCCCGTGGCATTCTTCGCGGAAGATGCACCGTGAAAGGCTTGGTTAAATCCAGTAGGAATTATAGACACAATACCACGAATAAGGTTCAATAAAAGTCGGAATGAAGAAGATATCACGTTGATTGTACCGTCGATAATGCAAAGAACTGTATCCTTGATAAGCTGAGCAATCCTGGAAAGACAAGCGAAAATGGAAGACACAAAGTTATAGTTCAATTGCAGGATCACTCGAACGCAGTAACCGAGATACTCCACCAGTTTGATAGCTTGTTTGAAGCCACTAAAGACATTGGAAATAATCTCGCAGGCAGTGATGACTACAGTATTAAGTACACAATAAACTGCGTTAATTAAACTGCTGAAGAACCACGAGAACCAACGAATAAAATCCAAGAAAAATGGAACAGAGTCGAAGAAAGGATAAGGAAAAGGTTTACACTCGCGATTGATTTGTTCTCTGTTTTCTGTAGTTGCCACTGCAGTGTAACTCAGAAGGACGAAAAGGGCTAGTAGTGTACAGAACTTCGTCATAGTGTTTAAGAACTCTACATCTTCGACACGATTAAAACGAAAAACAACGACGTTAAGTTCTCCAAGTGTAAAGCCCAGTCTATCCAAACGCTTCAAACGCACCGTCAGACAACGTGGTTCCTTTGCTGGGGAGACTGGGTAGAACGATTCTATTCCACCGTTTTTCTTTTCAAAATAAACCATCGACAAGATGCTTGTTTTTTTTGTTTGTTTCTTTGTTTTTCTTTTCCTTCAATATAACTTTCTTTTTTTTTTCAACTCATATTCTTTTAAACTCAGAAGCTTTAAATTTCTCATCACCCCCCCCCCCCCCCCCCCTCGCTCACCGTTTTGGTTTCCAGTCACCTGTGTGACAAATTTTACACGCTGTCACCATCATAGTGGCTTTCGAACAAAGTGAGCAGTACTGAAAACATATGGCTGAATTAGCTTTAGTTAGAATCTCTTTGAAATTAGTATGGGGACTAATCGCTAATCGAGCGATCGCTCGTTTAGAAACTGGAAATCCAACCGATGAGAAGTTAAGGCAACTTTTACTGAGCGAATTCCGCAAACTTCACGAGGAACTCGATGCCTTGAGACGGAAAGAGCTTGTCGCTGCGACTGCTTTTATGGAGAACGCTTACGAAATCTTGAACGATGACCCAGGAGAAGCAATAAAAGAGTTTAACAAAGCGAGAGATGCAGCTCAAGTCGCCCTTGGCGTGGTAAAGGAGCTGCACGACAAAATTTTAGCAACTAAGATTATGATCGCGTCCGCCATTCACGAGTTTGTGGATAAACCTGACGTCGCTGCCTCATTGTGTATGAAATATGTATCTCGCCTGAACTCCCTTCCTATGGTCGCAAACGCTTCTTGTGCTCAGATTTCACCGAGAATGGGCACTAAATGGCGTTGGGGAGGCAGCGAGGCGAGGCAGGAATTGCTGGGTAAAATTTCAGAGATTAACCGTTGTGTCAGGCATTTCGTTACAGATCAAACCAGTGGTATTAAATATTTAGAAAGTGACTGCTCGCACATCAATGTCGAAGGAAGACTGGTGAACCCTGTGACCGACTTCATCTTGTTACGAAGTTGTATGGAACTCACTGCTTTGAAAGAGGGTTTTGGTACGCCCATTTGCATGGTGGTCGTGGAGAGCAAGATGTTCTTTGCTCAGACCCAGGCTGCCGTCTCGGGAAAGAGAGATGCTTTCCTGGGCAATGCCATCAAAGCTTTAGATCTGGAAACTGGTTCTGTGTCACAGCTGGTTGGTCATGCCGGAGTGGTCTTATGCCTGGCTGTGGCTGGGTCCCATTTGGTTTCGGGATCATTTGACAAGAATATCCTCATTTGGGATGCAAACTCCTGCAAGTGCGTACACATTCTAACTGGTCATGAGGGTTCAGTCCGGTCATTAGCAGTGAATGACTCGCACATATTCTCTGGTTCTACTGATTGCACCATCAAGGTTTGGGATAGCATCACATTTCAATTGCACCACACCCTGGAGGGGCACAGCGCACCCGTTACAGCCCTGGCTGTTTCTAATCGGCATTTGTTTTCTGCTGAAGTCAGTGGACCAATCAAGTATTGGGACTTAAAGAAATTCACATGCTTGCATGATATTAAATCCCCTGGGAATATCAGCAAAATGCATATTTTAAACAGCAATTTGCTTGTGGCATTTGATCAGAAACTGTCAGTCATCAATTTAGGGAACTTAAGAGAAGTTGCTATTACTAAACACCCTGCGGAGCTCGCCCTGATTATTGATAGAAATCTTTGTACAGCATCAGAATCCACTCTATCATCACTGGATGTACATAATATGAACATCATTGGATTAAAGGCTTTCAAAGATAGCGATGTATTGTACAATATCAAGTGCATGCATTATGAAGAGATGACAGGCTACTTGTATGTCACTGCTTTGTGTACCACAGCCAATTCCAAGGAAAAATATGTCGTATTCAGACTTTAGTGCGGACCTCCTTCAATCCATCATTGCATTAATTTATTAATTTGGGTTGTCTCAATGTAGAAAATTAAAAATTGTGAAGTTGGGTCCCTATCTGATAAAAGGGGTAAGTTTCCAAAGATACTCTGGTGCTGTATCGGTGGGGGGCATTGCAAGATTTTTTGGTTTCATCAATTGAGTTGATAATGTAAATTGGCCACCATTAACAGTCCCTAAACCTGACACTTAAGTGTTAGCTCTTCATTAGCGCAAATGATAAAAGTCAGCTTTAGGAACTCTTTACAGTGGTCTACTTACATTACCAACTCAGTTGATAAAACCAAATTATTTTTAACTGATAAGCTCATTTACTGTTTTGCAAACCAAATGGAAAATGGAACTCCATAGTTTGGTATGGCAGGCTACTATCAATTTTTATCATTGCTTTTTTGGCACATGCAACAGACTTCACTGAAAATGAGGGATTACTCATAGTGTTTCTAGGTGGTTTACTATTTCACTAAGACATAATGGCACAAAATTAAAACTTCACTGCAAGGATTATTTCAAGACATAACATAACATAACATAACATTTATTCAGAAAGCTAGAACGCAAATGTAAAAAATACATCCTGAAAAGGGAAAATCGTGAGGTTAGCCCTGTATAAAAACAATTTCCCTAACTAAAAACATACAAAAGATAAAATTTAATGGCTACAGATTCAATAAATAAA